TTGGCAAAGGAAACTCGAAGTGGCGAGTCAAACATGTCTGGCCACGAAGAGACTGATGAAAATGACGCACTTTATATTTATAATTGGTAGGATAAAGAGAGGTTGCAAAATGATGAGGATACAAGGCAGGAGAGCATTTAGTTTTAGAATTTGGTCTTGCCGAGTCACCCTTGCAGACCTGGCCTGCTCGTAAAATATTCCGAGTCGAGTAGCCCCTGTGACCTCGATACGTATCAAGCGCCACGCTATCAGAAACACAGCTACTCTTGCTACTTCCAGACCCGGCCGTACCAGCACAAACGGCTAAAATTCCTTCCTGATCATAACAACTAATGTCTGGATATAGTGAATTGAAGTGGCTGATTGCAAATGGAATTGTTTCACTTTGTGATGGCTTCTGAATTTGAGGTGAAAGATGATGATAGGGATGATAAAATTCAAAGCCAAGATTGGGACTGATAGAAGGTATCGGTCGTGGCGACCGAGAGCTATCAGTATTAGAGGTGCTATCACTATTAATACTGACTCTGCCACGATGAGCACGAATGCGACAGTAGCGCGATCCAAAGGCGCCAGAGGGACTTAGTGAGGGTTGAGAATTAGCAGAGGAGGTTGGAAAAAGCGAACAAAGTGAGTGTTTAGGATGTGGTGCTTCATAAGGGTAATGATTTGCAGGATTGGCCCGGGTGCTAGGCATAATGAGGTAGAATGCATTTTCTTGGCCAGGTCGAGTAGTTGGAGATCGAGCTTGTCGAACAGTACTTTTTTGTCGTTGGAAGCTGGAAAGACCACTACCACCACTGCTACAGCCTCCAGAGGTGCTGTCAGTTGCAGAAAGGGCGATGGAAGTTGTCGATACTAAATTTGTGTTGGCAACAAATGAGGGCAATGGTGAAACCAAGCTAGAACATGCAGAAAGGCTGTGCTGAGTAGAAGAGTCACTAATAAAGGAGGTGAATCGCTGGGGCCTAGTAATTGTTCCTAGAGCAGCTGTGGCAACCTCATCCAAACTTGAAATACGTTGACAATGGTCTATATACATACATTTTGAGTGAAATTCGTGGTGGAAACAAACAAGGCATTTACATGCGAAGTCATTGAGGCGAAAATACGTGCACAAGGTCAAAAAGCCACTTGAAAGATGCAAATTCAATTTAGAGGAAGAAATTCAAAAAGAGGGCAAACGTGCAGGTGGTCATAAATAATTGCATACAAACAATTATATGAATTAATTTACTTAGCCATATATATATATATACATATAATAGCATGCTCAAAACGCAAATAGCATGTAAAAAATAAAGAAAAAAGCATAATGCATCTC